CTCTGTTCTTTCGCTATTTCCCCGGCGGTACGGTGAGGAGAGGAGCGTAGCGCACACCTGAGTAGGATAACAGAGAGGAGGATACAGTCGCTAGAAAACCTCAAGTTAATCCTTTCATTCTACAAACCAGTAACTTTGTGTGTCGGTTTTATGTATGTATGTTTGTATGTATGTTTGTATGTATGCATGTCCGTCCGCGAATGCTTCGAAATGTTTCACTTAACCGATTTTTGCGGATGTACCAATCCAGTGTTTTGATGGTATGTAGTGCACGCTTGAGTAGGATAATAGCATAACCGCTAACAAAACTGCAAGCTAATCCATAATAAAGTAACAAACTAATAAGTTGTACTGATTTGATAATATCCTCACCCTATACAAGACAACCATTTAGTACACCCCGAGCCACTGCTCAAGCCGCTCGCGTGGCAGCGTATGTGAGCTTGCGCTGTGTTGATCGTTTTCTGCTTCAGTTACTACATGTTGAATCTCGTGAAGCATTTTGCGGACGGACAAACAAACAAACAAACAAACATACATACTAACATACATATCGACATACCGCCACAAACGACACACGAAACGTCTGCTTTATAGAAAAGAAAGATAGTTTTACACCAAACGTCCTAAGCTGATCAGCAAAAAGTGTATCGTTTGACACCTATACGTTCCCTGAAAACCGTCATACCCATGTTCTGCCTATAGTTACCTGAGTGCGAGGAAATTGCCTCGTAACTCCATAGGTAGCCTTTTTTAATAACAACTCTAAACAGAACAAAACTTGACACAGCGTTGGCTCCTAAGCTGAATGGTTGTGGTCAAGGATTTTGCAAAATCCACCGATGCTGAGATGACTCGATACTGACGGAGAAATGCGGAGTCCTTCCTCAGAGAAATCGCTGAATGGGCTCTGCTCGCTTATTTCTCCGAGATTACTCTTGACGCTGTTATTCCATTGAATTCTCTTCACACAAACGCCTCTGATCTGGCGGGGAAAACCGAAAGTATTTCGTCTGTTGTCTTATTCAGTTTGGAAAGTGAGTGCTCTACGCGAAGAGCCCATCCCCAAGACATGAGCACCAAAATTCAGGATTCCACAATTTTTTTTCGAAGGTTCTAGGCACCAAATTTTGATTGAATTGAACCATCCTCCGTTCACCGGGATTTAAACCAACCTCTGTTCACCCCCTGAGTTGGTTGCGATAAATTAGATGAATTTGAATAGTCCATTGCGAGGTCAGACTTTGAATGAATTTGTTGGTGTATTCAGACTAATGCATTGCATGTAAACATCTAGATGGATAGCAATGATTGACACGTTCCCTTGCTCGCGGTTCTGCTTGCTTTCGGTGGCCTCTTTTCTTCATCTTTTCAAGACGTTTTGTCTCCACAAGTGGCTGCTTCGCGAACGCCGGTCATATCATCTTGGGACCCCCTCACCTTCCCTACTCGTCCCACCACTAACTGTGGTCATGTCTAGCAACCCTTACAGCGGCTCCTAGAGCACTAAGCGGTGGCTCATAGGTGCAAGGTGTTGTCGCGATCAAAACACTGCCACATTTTTAACTACAACAACGTTAGTTGGCAGTTCTGCGACCGGTCTCTCTTCTCTTCATCTTATCACATTCATAGATGCTGTGAACTCCACAGTCGCTGCGCTGTTTCGCCTGTTCAAGCGGCGTCCGGTCATGCTGGTACCCCCCTAGCCTCTCACTAAATCGCTCCACCCTTCCCCGCCAGCCTCCCCGTGTACTTCGTCCATCCGCCGCGAAAGAAGATTGTGAAATGGTTTGTAGTGTGAAAAAGGTTGTCTTGTCCTATATATAATCCGCTATGTCGGTCTGTGTGTGGTGTTGTATGTGTGTGTGTGTGTATGTGTTGAATGTTTGTGTGTGTCTGCCACGAAATTCATAGCGAGCGTCGCAGAAAAAGATAGCGTGACAGCTCGAAGAAGTGATATACATGACGGACGGGAAACACTTTTGGGTGGGTGACGGAAGGTGATAACACCTGATAAGATTTGATAAAAGGCGCTTAGAAGGGAGGGTGACCGAGTCCATAGTGAGGACACAGTAACAGTGGGACGGTGGTTTCAAGGTATGATATACGCTATGGCACAGGAATATTATTGATGGGTGACAGGGAGTATATCAGCTGATATTCGATAAGGGGAGTCTAGAATGGTAAGGTCACCATACTCATTACGCGATACACAGCATCAGCTAGGCGTTTGATTTCAGAAAAATGCTATAGAGTGGGAGATGGGACATCGACGGCAGCTGACAGGAGGTGGCAACAGCTGATGGGGGCTGACAAGGAAAGTTGTTATTGTTGTTCAGTCAAATTGCTGGAGCTTCACACTACCAAGTGAACAATTCTTGTTTTCCCATAACGAAGCGCGCCTGGCGAAGCTAGGTCAGTCCGGCGAAGCCGGGATAAAGAGAAGGAGGAGAGCTCGGCGTTGGTCGGGCGATCCGACTGGCTGACAGTTGATGTTAATATCACATTAAAAACCACACCTCAGTTTGTCAAATATAATTAGCTTGCAGTCTCTCTAGCAAATGCTTCCTCCTCTCGACTGCGTGCTACTGTTTAAACGTGCGCTACGCGCCCCCTCACTCGAACCCCCTCAGCCTTCCTCACCTACATGTTTCCAGGCCCGCCTGAGCACGTCCAGGGGAGGCAACTGAGTTTCCTATTCCCTCCTCTCCAGCCACAAATTCTACCTGCACGAGCTCACGTCCAGCTGCCACGCGAGAGCTTGTGAGCTTGTACACTGGCTCAGAGTGAACTAATTAGTTGCCTCATAAGGTTGAAAGTTTCATAACAATCAGAACAACATCTTTGTTTTGTTACAGTAATATGAATTACTTGCAGTTTCGTTGTTCTTTCTCCGCTTTTGCTGTGCGCTGCTATTCAAACGTGCGCTACGCACCTCCTCACCGTATCCCTTTCACTCGACCCCCTTCCTCAGGCGCCCTCACGTGATGTTCCCAGGCCCCGGCAGACCACGTCTAGGGAAGAAAGCCGTAGAGAGGATCATCCAGTTCCCCCCCCCCTCCTCAGCCACGCACATGCTCAGATCCAGCTAGCACGAGAGCAGCTTGTACAATGGTTCGAAGTATGAAAAAAGGTTGTCTTATATATGCTATTATCAAAATCAAACACTGGATTAATACACTTGCACCAACTGGTTTCCCGGTTTGTCTAGCGGCCGTGTTCTCCTCCACTCACCCTATTCGAATCCGTGAAGCATTTTGCGGACGGACAGACATACATATTAGGTCATCCCATTCAAATGGCCGACACATATAGAGGAATGGCAGAAAAGCAAAGGGAGCGGGTCTATACCGTTTGGAAGCTAGTTACCTTAAGCTGTGTATCTGTGAAATTTTGGCGAACCTAGCCTCTGAAGAAGTTCTCGAGAAATTGAAGAGAAGCCCGAGTGGTGAAAATCGGCGCCGCGTTTTTCAAATCAGACGTCATAAAAGGAAAGTGCGCTGCTCCCTGCGCCGGACCATAGTTGGTGTGTAAGGGGTGCTCGAAATACACGGTGGAAGATCTGGTGCAGGAGCCGGTGCAAGGAAGAAAGGAAAAAATTTGTTGTCGCGGATGGTCCCATAATGTTCACTGCACAAAAAGGTTGATGAAGTCAAGCTCTGATTGTCTGATTCTAAACCTGGGAGCCTTGTCGAGCTTCCCGCGAGTCTGACATCGCCAGCTGCAACTGCTCCCGAGTTATGTCCGATAAACGGAGGATGGTCAAGAGGGTGGCGCGTGGGTACCAATTTCTCTATAGAAGCACGAACGCAGTACATTCTATACTCCAGCAGTAATGTTCTCAGCATGAGATGTCACTCACACTGTGAAAACGCACCGCCGCTTAGATGAAATATGGGTGGTCTCGGACCTCGAGTCGAAATCACAATCGTCAATTTTCTATGAATGCAAATGAGAAGCCGCCGAGTTCTACCATGAAGAGTTACGTGGGCGCAAGTGGATGATCATCATAGCAAAGGAATTCCACACTGTGGCTTTCAAGCGGCTCTATACAGAGGACAATCCGTCACTGTCGGTGCATATTGCCTGTTCCTCGGCATTCAGATCGACAAATGGATGCTACCACACAACCACAAGAAGGCCACCGTTGCTCGTCATAGTGCCAGACCCCGAGTAACTGTATTGTAGATCAGTGCTGGGACACAAACAATACTGAGACCTGAGTTCAATCGCCCCATTCGCCCGTCATAAAGCCATGCTATTACAACGTTCTATTCAGTGGAGAGTACTCTTCGACGGCAGACGCTACAATGTTTTGTCATTTGCCGAAATTGGCAACAACAGCAATTTAACACACTTGTTTGAAAAATCGACGGTACCAGAGGTCCAAAGGCCCCTGCGGGCATTGGGAGCGGGTCATTGGTGAAGGAGGATTTTACTCATCCTAAAGCTAAAATATCACTTTTCTATCTATTCTCCTCTTTGTTTTATTCAAAAAACCATCGGCCACTTTGAATGGGATGACCTAGTACTTACATGCATACTTACATACATACCTACAAACATACAAATCGACACACAAAGTTACTGGTTTATAAATTGAAGGGATTGTCGTAATTGTGATGCTCTCAATTAGTCTTGTCTTCCATGTTTTTTGCGCTTTGTTTGATTCTTTATCACATTCTAACATTCTGTACCTCTTAGCTCAATAATATTCATTGATGGATCTATGAATTTCCTCGACCGCTATGACGTCAAGAAGGCATGTAGGCAAGTCAGAAAAGGTCAGGCAGAAGTTAGCGAGAAACCATTTGAGTAAGGCGACCCCACAGGCGAGTATACCTAGGGGGCGAGAGAGAGAGGCGAGAAGTGAGATTCTTTTAAGAACACTACACACCCCACCTCCAGATACGGAATGGGTGGTACCCTTGGGGAGTGGCACTTGGTCGCGTAGTGTACACGCGGCTTGTGAGCTACTTTTTTTATCGGTTTATATTTAGGTACGAGCTGTTGACTCAGAACACTCCCAAAATCTCAAAAACGACAGTAAGCGAATTCTACAAGTGATAAAGTAAGTCATGCAGCAGTATTCAAAATAGTGGATATCCTATAGAAACCCTTCAACGGGTTGAACAGATGCTTCGGAAGAAGCCATTATCTAACGCAGATTACGCGGCACTAGAAATTCATTACTTTAAGGCTTTACCGCTGAAGGCGCAGTTCACGCCGGTCGTAATCGTAGGGCTCAGCCAACTGTTGTTCTTATTTCATCCTGTTGAAGGGGCTCTCCTCATAGCTAATCACACAACAATGTGAGGCCGGTTAAGCATACGATCAATGTGCAATGTAACTGACTTGCCTCCTAATACATTAGCTCCTTTCAGATATCTTTCAAAGCCAGGACACGATTACGGAAAATTTCTCACAGGCAATAAGGTTGGTCGAAAGTTCAAATAACCATGGAAAATAGACGCGTTCTAATTTGTGGTCTGACCATCCAGAAAACGCTGCTGGACGATCCGCAGAAGAGGGGAGCCGACCCGCACGATGCCTTAATCAGATTCTACAAACAGTGGTATAGCTCAAACATGTGGGTAGTCTTATCGTGTTTTGACTCTGAAATATGAAATATAGGATCAATGAAAATGAAGACACCTTGCATCTTACAAGGGAGGTCGTTCAGGGCGTGGTGCGCTTTTCGAAAACGGTTTTCTGATATTGTAGGGGCTCATGCAAGGGCCTGAAAAGTGTGCTTCATTTTCGCTGCGCGCTTCCAGGAAAGGTGAAAAACGAGTGAAAAGAAATCTTTGGAATCTGCTTCGCTCTGGGCCTCTACACGACGTAGCTCACTTGCAACTTTGACCAGTTGCTGAGTGGGGGGTTCTTATAAAGGGGCAATTTGAATCGAAGCGAAAAATCGCCGCAAGCGAGCTTCCAACTTGGGTCACGTGCTCAAGGGTGAACGGCTTCTTGCAATGGCTTCATCAACGATAAGAGCGCTATCACAACCGAGCATCGGATGGCCTAGCGGATAGAGTGGAGGTTTCGCAATCGGACAGTGAGGGTGGTTGATGGTTCGTCTCCCCTTGCGTCGTGGTTTCTTGCATTTTTTAGATTTCTCTGTTCTCGCTTCCATTAGTGTCTGCGCATGAATATAACTCGGATATTTGCCATTTATGGGCACATTCCGAGTAGCTGTACCTCATGAGTGAGTGCTATTCAACTATTCGATTCACGCACCACTGAACAAGATTGTTGCTGGACGTTGATCCTTATAGGCTATACTGTGGATCTGATTGCGAATTCAGTAACTTCTGGTGTAGTGTCAATTATAGGCAATTTGGGGCCACATCTTCTTTCCACTGAATTGGTTATGTACACCAATACAGGAAACGTTCACCGCTATTCTGTCGCCAAATTGCGTGGATGCCATGAATAGGTGCTATATTTGTGATTAGGGCCACTGATTACCACTAAAAACGGATTTCGGTCAAAACAATTGTTTTGACCTTCTTGGATTGCTTATTGAGTTATCCGGGGTCCGTAGCATCAACGATACGCATCACTGTTACAAAGATGTGAGACTCCGCCCACACTGCCGACCGAATGGTCGGTCACCTACAACCCGAAAAAGACAAAGAAAAATTTTTCGCTCAAACCTTGCTGCTAGGGGTAATCGACAGTCCTGATCACGATTCTAGACTTTATTTTCGGTTCCAGTGCCATCTGGTACTGGCATAGCGCCAAAGAGCTGAGTCTGTTCATACAAACGAATTTGAACAAAAAGCAGTTTTGCTCCAAAAATGTAGGATTATTCAGTTTATCGTGAGTGTTTTTGTTAGGACCAATTATTTAGGCAAACATGGATTCAAAAAATGAAAAACTGTAGAAAAGCAAAATTTTGTCCTCGGTGGGATCCGAACCATCGACCTATTTTTTTACGTTTTTTTTATTCGCAGAAGCGCGCAGCGAAAATGAACCTCAGTTTTGAGGTCCTCGTATGTGTCCCTACAATATGCATAAGACCATTTTGAAAAAGCTCACCACGCCCTGAAAGACCTCTCTTGTTAGTGGTATGGACGGAGATTGGCCTACCCTTGCATTTTGCCCACAGGCGCGCACTTCTGTACTTTACTCTATCTTTACTTTCTCGCAGGAAGGGTGTCACTGATCAAAGCGCAATGGTGGCTCTAACACCACCCATACGCCTACATGGCAAGCATATTTAAACCTTTATTCTTCACTAAGCCTCATAATCATACCAAGAGATTTGGTCTCATCTTTGTGTTGCACTGTTTTCCATAGTATGTCACTATGTATTGTTGACTCGAAACCACTGGATGCCATGGAGTCGATCGTGGCAGATTTGGGCTTTGGAGCGATTGAAAACAAAAATGTGGAACGGAAAGGGTGGTTGGAAAGTCCGTACGGTGAGGAGCAACTCGGTAAACGCATTGAGGTGAGCAAATACCAACAATCTTCCTTGAATTCTTTCATTCCACCCCTATATTCGTTTTCAATGTTTATTTGCGGGACCTTTTCTAGCATGTCGCCTTGTTACCTGATACAATAGTCCAATAATGAATAAAGAAAAAATTCGAACGCTGTTTGGCTAGGAGAAAGCACTTGACACTTTCGTCGGTTCCTTTTGTTGACATGCCCTCTAGAGTCTTGCCGAAAAGAGGTCTGTGTACTCTGCTGGAAACTGTTCCAGTGAGAATAGTCACATGAACTTTCTAGTCTTCAAAAGGTGACCTGTAAAAGCCTGTATGAGCTCGGCTGATTACCATTCGCCTATCAAACCGAGTAACGCCCATATTTCATCCAGTCTACTTCTTCATTCTTTTTTTTCTGAATTCGTTTGCAACAACATGTTTTTGCGAGGCAGTCAATATACCTGTTATATACCATTTTCACTTTGCACCAATGGTGAAGACCGCGGTTTGATGTCTCCATCCATTTGATTATCGTGACTATGCCTGATACAATACAATATGGCAATCAAACAACGATAGATTCAATGAAAGATTTGGTTTCTGACAGATCGTTCCCATCAGAGACATTCGAGAGCTGCTCATGTGCTTTCCTATTCCTGACCTACAGGATGAGTACAAGTCGGATCCGACGTCATACATTAGTAGGTTATTTCACTGCAACTTTACATTTCGGAGTGTCCGTGTGTGCGTAAATTGGAGTGGAATGAATTATAAAATGATGCAGCGGAAGCCTCCGAAACGCACTGCTCACCAAAGAGACTGGTTATTTGTAAAAGATTGGCGCTTTAGCAACCCGCATCCTCTCCTTTTCCTCTATCGCTCGGTTGAAGAATCGAAACACTGAGGTGAGTACTGGTAGGGGAGAGCTGAGGCATGGCATGTAGCTTTGAGGGCAGAGCCCCCACATGTCGAGGCACCTGAGGTTCAAGGACGAATGCTCCAACGCTACAACAATTCAGCACCTCACATAAGAAGCAGAGAAAGGATGTTACGTAAAGTACAGGGGGGGGCCATAAAAAAAAGACTTTTTTCTCTTCCATCGAACTTTCGAGGGCTCTAACTACAGCTTTAACATTATTATGGACAGCTTCTACTACATATTAAGAGCATATTAAATACTATCATGATACTTCCGCCACAGCCTTTGGAGGAGCCCATGAGAGATTCGGCCACGCGACCGTCAGTGGGTGCGTGAGTTCAAGCGAGATCGTTTGATTTTTCGCCCACTGTAGCACGCACCCCTAATTTAATCTCGCCGAGCCAAGTATTGATGGGGATTTAGTCAGTCACCTGCTTAGATATACTTCCATAGGTATCAGCCCCTTACCTTTCGCAAGTAGCGAGAGTTTTCTCCAAGCTCCTTCGTTCCAACGTGGTGGCACCCAATCTGCTAGCAGACAAAGTTTACAGAAGGTAGGGCGTGCGACATGCGTGGGGGCGGATATTACTTCTTCAGTTGCTCGATCTAACGCCAAGCGCTCATCTTCTAGTCGGGGCTCACGAAGAAAAGTATCGGTCTGATCCATCCCAGGTACGTCGGTCCCCACACCATCAACTGGCTGCGCTTGGGCGACTGAGGTGAAGATATATCCTGGACCGTATCGAGTTGGCGGAGCTTGCTTGATCTTAGGGTCCTTCCAGATCGATAGTAACTGATCTCCTGTAGCTATCCATGGGTGACTCCATATCAAGAGTTTGCGCAAGCTGTTCGAGGTCGAATGATTCGGAAGTGCTCTCCAGTCAGTTGTCCTGCTGGAGAATGACTTCAATTTTTGGTGTACATAAGGCGATGGGCGAGGTCGCCGCTCCTGCTTATAGAGGAACATCTGGGTTATCTTCCTGCCTGGTACGTACTCGCGTTCTCTGTCTGGGCTGCGAAACTTGCTGATATGTGAATCGGTAGAAATCTCTTTTTTTTGGCCGCCCCCCCGTGTAATACGAAAGGGTAGGCCGTTACTGCAGCATCGCAGCGATTGCCCGAATCCTCGACTACTGCTATCAATTTGCCATGGGGCGCAATCTAACAAGGAAGTGGTGTTGACTTCCCCATGAACTTTGAATGAGACCTAGGCATGCGATAGAGTTTCGATCTGATTACGAAGATGCAGATTTAAAGTGCTACCGGGATCTCGCAGCGAGTTCTGTGGCGTCAAAGTTTGTGAATATGCAGTTCTTGTCTCATATGAGCTGCGATCGCTCGTTGGACAGTGTCAGCACGTAGGCCTAGTGGTCGTGGTATCAGCTTCAAAAGCCGTAAATGTCGTGGGTTTGCATCCCGTTGGCGTGAAAAACTTTGCTTCGTCTCCTATAAAAACTTTCACTCTAATTTTCGAAATGCTCGAGTGTACGGCCAGCAGAGCAAGTAGATAAGTAGATCAAGTATTGACGTATTGCGATCAAGTATGGATTTGATTTTTTGCAGCCTCGTCGCGAGTCGAGCGACAGAAGGCCTTGACTCCGTTGAGACAGAAGCGGTATCGAATGCCGGGTTATCGCCTAACTCAGTACACCTCAGGATTCTTCGAGAGCTCTACAGCAACTTCACGACCAAGACTTCACCATTCTACAAGGAGAATCATCATTGATGTGAAGAGAGGGTCCGACAGGGCGACGCCCTCTCGCCCAAGCTCTTCAGCGTCTCTCTCGAGAACGTCATGCGTCAACGTGGAATGGAAGACATGGGATAAGATCGAACGGTCGGCAACTACCCATCTCTCTGAACCATCGTTTTGCTGACGATATCGTTTTGATAACGCCAAACATCGAGCAAGGAACGAATGCTGCTGATTTCGACTTGGCGCGTGTGCAAATCGGTCCTACTACGGCTGAACTAACGAAGACGATGTTCATGAGAAAGCGATGGACTGATGCCGCATTCACGGCTCAACGGACGACCATCTCTAATCTCTAGCTATGTGTACTAGGTCGTGAATCAAATTATCAATGACTAGCCCAGACGTAGCAGGAGCGAGGCGAGTATGGGAGCCCTTCAAGAAGATCGAGGGAGTAGCGAGAAGACGAGAACACGAAGCTCCGTGCCCACCTCTACATTCCGAGGTCCTCTCCTTGACGTACGCTCAGAGACTTGGACTCTACGAAAGCAGGATAGCCTGGCGTCGGCGTTATTCAGCGCAGCCATCGAAAGGGCGAATGCTCGGAGTCTCCGAACCACAGACAAAAGTGAGAAGAAGGCCCCCGGCAGCTACGCCGCACTACGAACCACGATAGCGACAGATCCAGAGACGCCAGCATTCGAAAAAGCATCTCTCGACCACAAAGGCTCGAAGATCAGGTGGCGGCCTGGACACTCAATGCTCATTCGAGACGACACCGCTGGAACAAAGCGACAGAATAAAAAAAAGACTGAGGAATTCCAACCGATGAATAAAAATACGAACGCATTGACGAGCCTATGCGAATGGACTCAAACTCACTCATCAGGAAGTACATGAAACGAAAACGTAAATAAAAGATAAACCTAGGTCATCGGATCTGAGAGAAAGTTCATGTGGCCAAACCTACTCTAAAGAAACATATAATGAAGGATGAATGTAGACGTACTATTGGCGAAAAAGCTCGAGGAACTCGATGATCCGGGGACAGGTGAAACACCGGAATACTACAAGGTGATAGGAATAATCTGATCGGCCTACATCTGCTAAACCTCCACCCTCTGACTCAATTACCCCCGCACCCCAGACCCCACCCACTGTCGACAAAAGAGGTTTTCGCCAGAATCAACAACTGTAGCCGGAAAACTCGCTCACTGGAGTGATATTTGACCCTGAAAAGAATATAATTCGTTTCGGCGAGGAAGATCGGTCAGAGAAATAAAGCTCTCAGTTGTGATCACACATTTTGGCAAGTGAAAGTCTTACAAGCGTCTTCTGGCCAAAAAGGAATGAATTCGTTCAAGAATATAATCGTTTTCGTGGAGTAAAATACGCGCCAGGAAACGAGTTTTTGGCAAATTGATGATCTGTGGGCGCCAACTTCGAAATGTCGGATGGGTAAGAGCTAGAGAGGACAGATAGCGATCAAATCCATATTGAAATTAATAATATGATCTACTTGAGTTACTTTGCTCTGCTGGCGTATCACTCGAGCAATTTCGGAAAATTAGATGAAAGTTTTTAATGGGAGATCGAAGCAAAAGTTTCCACGTCAACGGATCAACCGGACATTTACGGCTTGAAGGGCGAGACCCTACCATAGGCCACGGTGGACACTTGTTCGAATGAGCGATTAGCAGCGCTATGAGAACAAAACCGGATTTCGCAAAACTTTGACGAGCCCACGAATCGTCTGGAGGTCTCCGTAGCACTTTTAATCTGCATATCGTAATCAGCAATTCGAAACCTAACGACATGTGCCTGAGTCTGATTCAAAGTCATGGGAAGTCAAACCATTCCCTTGTAAGGCACGCATGTTGGTCATTATGCGTCTCAGCAGATGTTCTTGGTGATCGTTTGAAGGAAACATTTCATGCTTCTTCTGCCTTTGCACTATTGTTGGCTTAGCTATCCCGGTCCCTTACCAGTGAAGTATTGAAGAACTGAAGAAATGAAGAATTGCCGAGCCGACGAAAACGATTGAATACGTGTCAGTTTGGAGATTTGCAAAATTGCGGAAATAGACTGCTGCGTATCTAATCTTTTTCGTCGCTCTGCAGTTCTTGGCACTATTCACCCTTTACTGCACAGTTTTCGAAGTTGAGGTAACATCTTCAATTCTTCTGGAAATTCGTCTCCAGGGGTACGCTGAACACGAAAGTCAGATCAGTTCAGCCTGAGATAATCTGGTGCCTCCGCCATAGGCACCAGTGGCGAAATACTCAAAGTCACCAAATTTGCTGAAAATTTGTATACAGGGGTAGTGTGACTTCTGTAACACGAACATCACATCCGTTGGACCTTGAACCGACTAAAGCTGTGTTCATACTTTTTGGCAATGTCCGTCAGCGACGGTGAAGCACGCTGGCGTTTGCTAGGTCGATATCTACACATTCCTGACCGCTGACGCTGGCACTCGCTCGAGAGGCTGGTGGATTCTGCTGCAAAAGAAATAAACGTTTGTTTTGATTCCAGCGCATGTTGCGTGGACTGCAGTCTAGTTCGTGCCGATCGGTGGACTAGCGCAGTTAGACACAACGAGAAAAAACCACCGTTTCTGGGTGCCTGTTTTAGTGATCCGCCTCATTACTGAATCAAGTGATCTCTATTGCATAGGGAGGACGCTTTGACACGACTCACAGCCTGCTTTGTTGAGTTCACTTGAGAAACAACAGCACCCAAATTGAAGATCACAGGAGACATCAAGAGCTGTACAAGCTCATAAGATGAGGGACCGCCGTGGGACGATGAGTCAAGAAGTATGAAATGATTCCTTGGTGGCGATTATGACAAAGAAAGGCACAACGCGGAGTACCTCAGTTGCGCCCCATGGGCGAATAAAAGCACGCGTGAGATTACGGTAATCGCTTATTGTAGGCAAGTACACGGCTACGCTTCGTGTATTTACGTAACATCAGGAGAAAACGCCGAATTGCTACGAAAGCACCATTTCGGTTTTGAATTGTTTGTGAAAGTGTGGCGAAACAAAAGAGACCGCACAAGGTGAAGAAGAGCAAACAATAGTCGGGACCTCATGTTGCGGTTTTGAAATGAAACTATAAGATCGGAGGGCGATCGCGAAGGCGGAGGCTGCTTATGGTGACAGAGTCGCGGCGCTCTTATTGAATACATCTGAGTCAACATCCTGGAGGGGCAAACGCCGTGCCAGGATCGCGCCATGTTCGTGACCAAGGCCTTCTGTACGTCGGGTAATCACAAAATGTTTCCTTGAAATCGAAAAAGGGTCATGATGAGCGACGGAATCACCATCGCCATGACGTTTACTGCTTGCACAAATAAAAATTGTCGAGAAGAAGTAGAGCAGAGAGTTGGGTGATCAAGGGTTCAATTCTTCTTGTTATTTTGCAGAACGCCTGCTCATTCACGAAGGAGAAGGTTCGTTGTTGTCCGTGTTGAAGCGGCGGAAATGGGCGGTTTCTTTGTTTGCTAATCCGGAGCGTTTAGCAAAAGGAATCAGTATTTTTTCAATCAGAGTTACTCTCAGCGCTGGTAAGCAATCCAGTTCCGTGAAAATTCTATTCTTGACGCTGTTTACCTTTCGTCCCCTCTCATCGAAAAACAAGCCAGGTTTTGGTCTAACATCTTCCTCGAGCGTAGACCTGGGTGATAATGCACTTTCTGGTGTAGCTTCCCTGAAAACAAGTATGGCATCGGCTTCACCTGAAATTCTCTCGGCCTAAATTTGCTAGAGAGATAGTTCGACTCTCTCAATAAAGATATCATACTTGGCTTGAGCAAAAAGTTCTGGTACGCCTGATAGGCGTGCCGGCGCCGTGGTTTCTGCTTGAGCTTTTGTGTTTGCACATAGCTAGAAGACAACAGCTGTCTAAGCCAAGGAGTAAAAGGCATCCAGCAAGCTAGAGATAAGTATGCAAGCCAGGGAATGGCCACGGAGGGGGCCTCCGGGGTGAGTGAACAACCTTTCATGCGTAAAATGTTAGAATGTGTGAGGGTACAATGGCCATAAATTGTCATGCAGACGTTAGAGGAAGACATAAAATTACCACGATTTAGAAGATCGAGTTCAAGTAGTCCGAAGAACGTCAGCGCCACAACGTTGTGGCGCCAGTGCCCGTGAGGCGTGAGCCAGACCTTTTGATTCCAACTGGGTGCCATGTTCGTGCTTATGGGTCAGAGTGACTCTGGAACGCTTGGCTAAGTCTACCACTAGAAGAAAATTTTGACCAAACTCTGCCCTGAATTTCGAAGAGGGTGGCATTGAACGGTCATTACTGCTTTTTCCTGAAAATAATTTCACGCAATACGTTGAAAATATTTGTATTCTTTCACTTTTTTCTTTTCAGATGGTCTCAGTCACATTGAGGAAGTGATCAGCCTGGTATTCAACTACATTGGGCTATTTAGACGTAGTGGAGTAATCGCCTGGTTCCACGAAGAACTTCGGAAAATAAGCGAAATTGAATTTCGCTTCATGGTCTGTGGGATCACATCCAAGCTCTCATGCTCACTCACTCGCTATTCTCTTTCAGGAGAAAGACGATCCATTAAAAGCTGCAAAAACACTTTCCTCTTCTTTGCAACGTATTCCTTTCCAAGACGTCCTTTCGTGTAACGTTCTGACGGAGTGCAAACCTGGTACTGCACGACACCCATGAAGTAGAAGGATTCCACCTTTGAATGCACTTTGCAAGCGAATAGTGCACGTGTACTTAGGATGTGGTCTGAACAAACATCTGAAGGCACACTCCACAACGGTTGTGTGGATGGAGTCAGGCCTTACCATCGATCCCGCCTCATAGACTTCCTACACCCTTACATTTACAAGGACCGGTGCATCATTAAAAAGGCGTGGCTTCAGGCCTGTCTCCACCTACACGGTCAGCTCGGTGAACTATGCTTTTAACGACAACTCGTTTCAGATCGAATTATGAACGTTTTCAAGATGTTGTCTCCTAAGCAAATGTTCTACATTGTAACTGCTAGGAAGTTCAGTGGTCAGGAGGGCAATATTCATGAACCAATCTATGGAACGGAAATGCGGGTCATAGATATAGATGAGGTGGGTGTTTGCGTAGGTAATGCATTCACGAAATGTTAGGGGCCGCTGCCTAAAGTTCTTTAAGTGCTGTATTTTTATAAATGGGTGGTGCATTGTATCCAAGTATACGTCCTTATGCTCGTTGCCCTCAGTGCACGCATCAAAGATCTGGCGTTTAGTAGAAGGACGAGAATTTCTTCTTCTTAATATCTCTAGCGTCAATCGCGCTCCGTCGCGGGTGCGCTGTCCCTGTTGTCGCCATCTTCTCTTGTCCAGGGCGTCCTCTGCCGTGGTCTTCATTTTAGCGAGGTATTTCTTGTTCACGTCCCTGCTCCTTCTCATCGGGGCTCCTCGAGGTCGCTTGCCTTCTGCTTCGAAGTCCAGTGCCTTCATTATGGGATGTTCTTCGGGCCTCCTCAGCACGGGTCCATCCACCGCAACCGCTGCTCTCGTACCTTCAGCTGGATCGGAGCCGTCTGTGTGACAGCTCTGACGTCCTTGTTTCTGACTTTGTCGAGTAGTGTTCAACCTCAGGTCTATAGCATCCTCATTCTAGCTAGCACATCTGCTTTTCATAGTTCTTGCACATATGCGAACACTCGCTGCCGCAGAGCATCGTTGGCCTCACCACTGTTCGGTACACCTCCTTTGAGGGTCTTGGAGCATAGCCGATCGCAGAGGACGCCTGTGGACTACCTCCACTTCATCCAAGCCGCACTTATTCAAGCCTTTGCTGCCTGGTTCACGCTCCCACAACGGACCACATCGCTTCCCAGGCAGCTGTAATTCTCCACCCTGTCGATAGACTCTCCAAGATTGTCCTGGATGGTGTCGTCGCCCTTTGAAGCTTAGGAACCAGGGTACAGCATCGCTGCACGAAACCGTACTGGCCTCTGGGGAGGGGGTCGTAATCTCAAGGGTCAGTCAGCACCGGACAATGCTGTGACGTTTCAGTTGATAGCAGGAGTGGAAAAACGTGATATGAAATGAAGATAAAATGATATAAATGTGATATGAAAGATGTGGTGATTAAAAAAATGCGAAAAAGCCTTCACAGAGACAACCGCTCCGTTCATCAGCCTTCTTTTCGTGTGAAAATCCTAGAAAGGGGCTGTACTTGGGGACGGGGGAGGGGACGTGGGGAGGGCCGCAAACGCAGGGCCAGTGAGCATAAAATAGCACAGTGTCATTGCTAAGTTTGCTGGAGCGGACGGAAAGCTGCAGAAGACTCGGATGCAAGGAAGACTACAAAATATTAGGAAACTGATTAGCAGTATCAATTGTTAGCATGAACTCGTACAGTCCTCATCATAACGGACTGTCAGGGCGGGTCAGTGCGGCTGCGTTTTTCGCGGTGCCGAAGTCTCTCTGCACCAGTTGTTGAAGCGAGAAAATGAACAGCATTATATCCTTCATATTACTCGTTTTCTACCACTTTTTGTCGCATGCGCGTTTCAACGAAGAGGCTGAGAACGGCTTCAAACAGTGTGTGCACTCCTACTGGCTGATACGCCCCGACAGTCCGTAATGATGAGGACTGTAAGTAAGTAGATGACTAAAAATACATCTCAACCGGAGACGCGCACGTCCTTTCCAATCCCTAAACAAACATCTCCTTACGTGGAACAAAAATCACCCAAAATCAGAAGTTATACCTTTCCACCACCTCTGCGTAGAAGCGCAGTACACGGCGCACACCCGGATCAAACAGACCAATGGTAGCCAGGCTCTCCTTCACTGATTTGAACGATGTTTCGGAGGCACATTAAAGTTCCTTGATGTCTATCCTCACAATGGCACAGAATTAGTTCGAATTTTGAGCGGCGCAAAATGTCGCGCATTTGCAACTTATCTAAAATTTTCTTCCTGACACTAGCGGCAGGCACAGATTTCGCATAGGGGATTTTTGGTCGAGCCTGTACGACCCTCCCTTTTTTTGGGGTTTCGGTACGACCCCCCCTTTTCCGTTCGGTTTTTTGTTTTTTTTTTCGCCTCAAATGAAATATGAAACGCCCACTATGAAATTCTACTTGTATAAAGTGCCATACTAAATGGACGACTTGAAGTCATGACATAAATAGAAACAATCAGAGATGATTGCAAACAAAAAACGGTATCAATCGTATATGAAAACTTGTATGATGAATTCTTCGATGGCGTTTTGAAACACACATGATAAATATAACGAGTATCGCGATTAAATTCCAATGAGCATTCGTTAATCTGAGGTGGGCTCCATCTCTTGGGAGCGGCCATCAAGCGACCACAGTGTTAACCAACGTCTATTCCCAAGAGTTGAGGGACGAGAAAAGAGAAAGTTAGGCTGTCTCACTACGTAACAGTTATACAAACCGCCGTTAAAAATGCACTTACCGATTATGTGGAGTACGGTAGAGGTCGGAATGCGCATGTAATTGCAGCTGTGACTGGAGACTTATTCGGCATTTTAGCCATGGAGCGAGAATTTCCAGCTGAGGTAGGTGTCTTTGAAGGACCATATCTTCCTCAAAAGCGGACCTGTGGGGAAGAGGAGACCGTACTCGTATAGAGGAAGGTTTGCACTTCCTAATAGTACTAAAACTTTTTGAACGTCGCAAAATCACAGAGAAATTGCTATAGGGATTCGTTGGGGAGTGATTTCACCGAAACAGGTCTTGAATTAATATATTTTTTTGTAACTCAACATTTCACAAATCTGAGAAGGGATTTCGGGTTTGAAGATTTTCTCTTTCTAAAACCTCTTGAATCTTTCTGAAGCTCTCGGGATTCATGAGATCTCGCTATGGGGATTTCTTGAGGAACACTCCCAGCTGCCGCGAAAAACCCGTTTCCTGTGTACCGTTTCAAGTGGAGCGTGTTCGAATGGCCAGGACGCATTGTAATTCGTATCCTCTGGTGAGCAGAGCAAGATATGGTCGTTTAGGCCGATCCCCCGCTGACTTTGATGCCGCCGCGACACTGAGGTCTGCGCAGTAGTGTGATTGGATGTTGCAACTTGTGTGTACTTTGTTTACAGTGTTTTCCGTTGCCTAATGGAACCATGTCCCTGTCAACGCTGCCAGATTCGTGCCTCCGCCTAATCGGCTGACTCCGGTAACAGCCGAGACCAACTGCTGAAAACGTCTGTATAACGTATAGTAGTCCTATGCTTGTCGGAAAAAAAAACAGTTTTGGCTTCAGCGCCAAGCCTTCGAACTGTGGCGACACGCCATTATCATTTGGCAGTTGAGTTGGTACGTTTAGGTCACCACGGACTACGAGATAATGTCGACTATTAAATTTTGCAGTTATTTCGATTAGTTGATTGAATGAAAGTTTTGTACTATTTTTTTGCATATCCGAATTCTCTACAAAGCAAGTTTCGTTGTACAGGACTCAGTTACTGGCTGCCGCACTCACTACGACCCCCTCCCCTCTCCTGGCGGCCAAATACGACCCCCCTGTTGGGGATTCCCCAACCAACGATGTACCCTGACTAGCGGGTCTTCAGGGGATTTGTAAAAGCTGTTTGAAAGAGAGATTATTGAGCGTTCTAACGTTGCTAAAGGTTGTGTTCGAAAGAAGCTATTCTCGTGTGAAGCATAAAAATCCCCTTCGCGATTTGCCACTAACCCATCCATAGCCTATCCGAAATATTTCACGAATGGGGAAGATCCAGGTTGCGAATAGATAGAAAAGTAGCAGCATTGCCTCAGCATGCCGCTTCCCATTTCTTAAAAGCCTCACATCTAAGAAAGCTATAATCTCCCGAAAAGACCTCAGAATCTCTCTGGGCTAACAACTGCGCTTTCAATTGAAAACGTCATTGGAGCGATCTCGTCAGCAGCTGATAGCCAGCCGCTTCACTGGTCATTTTTTTCAGTCACTCTCGCGGCTTTGTGTGTTTTTCATGTTCCGCTCTGTTGTTCCGTGCATAATTCATCTTCATCTTCACATGTTTCTCAGAGGCAGAGCCCGCGATCATTTGCCATCACATTTAGTGCATTAGGGTCCTGCATATAGACGATAAGTCGCTGAGTAACTCGATAGTGAGGGGAAAAAGCAGAGAAACGTGCCAACTGGCCCAAATGGAACCCGATTACAATTTGTACGCGACCAATTACCTCCATCTTCAACACTTCGATCTCATCCGCCCAGCTGAATCCCAGATAGGAACTCTATGACCGAAGTAACGAATTTCATGCTTTTTCGTCCTGCAGCTTCATTTTTCACTGAAAGGCGGGCCTTGAAGGCGAGGTCTGGAGGCGGAGACGTTGGAATAAAGGGGGCGCCACTGAACCTATAGCGCCCCTCTCTTACAATTTTTTGCCGCGAACCGGCACAAGGTTGTTTGTCGCGAATTACGCTACCCTCGCGACGCTGTATCTTCAATTCCATAACTGATCGCGGACCGTGCCTTTTATGATATATGCAGAATTTATGAATATAGGAGTATTGAATAGATAGAATATGATATTTATTTCTCGATACCATCTTTCCACCTAAATCAATGAAACCTTCGTTTCATTCTTAAGGTCGAAAGGTTGTACTAGCTGCCTTGGGTTACGATTTTCCCTTTCCTTTTTACCTTTTTTCTTTTCCTTTTCCCTGTTGAACGGCGCTTAGAGAGGTAGGGTAATGCCTGCATGTGACTTAGAAAGTTGCCGCGTTGAAAGAATTTCTTTTCCCTATTGTTTTTTTCCCGTTGAAAGAATTTCTTTTCCCGATTCCCGATTCTTGAAAGAATTTCTGTTCCCGATTTTTTTTCTTGTTTTATGTGCACTATAACCCCTCCCCCGCTCGACGATTTTTGGGTGGAAAAACTGGACAATTTGGGAAAATGGTAGGTAGGTGTTGTAGAAGGGGATCGTACCGAAACGCTCCTTCGAGGGAGGAGGGGTCGTACTGGCACTAACATTTCACATATCACATGTTACAGGAGGGATTGTACCCTGTCAGGAACTTGGTCTTCTTAACGATCAGCCGGAGGCCATTGCTGGCCAGTACCTCCTGCCAGTTCCGCACCTTCCATGAAGTTCCTCCCTGCTCTCCGCTATCAGGGCAATGTCATCGAAGTAGAG